TGTAGAGAGAGAGAGAGAAAGAGAGAGGACAAGAAAGTGTGGGCAGGGGGAAAGGAAGGGGGGGGGCAGGTCGGGTGGGGTTGGGGAGTGTGGGAGGGCAGGGAAAGTTGGGTTGAGGGTGAAGAAGGGCAAGGAAGAAGTTAAAACAAAATTAAAAGGAAAAATATTTATACAGCACCAGACCACAGCATCAATCTAAAAGCTCTGATGAGAGAACAGCAGTCAAATCATAAGGGAACTGAAAAGAACTCAAAGGATGGAGGAAGCCGGCAGACAAACGACATGAGCACGTCAACACACACACGCACACGCACACGCACATACACGCACACACGGTTGTTTATGCCGACACATGGTAACACTGTGAACAGTAGCAGAACCTCACACAGGGCCACTAAGGGCATCCATCATGCGTTGGGGAGGGGGGGCATGGGCGGTTTGGCGAGGGGGCCAGAAAAAAATAAAAGAGCCCCTCAAACCACCTTGGCGGTAAGCAGATATCAGGGAGCAAGCTCTCTGTTTTTCATCACCCTTGATTCTTTCTTTCTCCCCAGGTGCGGGGCTCCCCTTACCTCCCCACTTTCTGTGGCTTCAGCCTCTGGACCAGCAGGGGGCGCCAGACAGGGTGGCCCTGATTGGCTGGGTAGACAGAGGCCTGGCTAAGGTGACGGTTGCATCTGTGGGTCCATCCAGGACACACTTGGCTGCCATGTACAGTCTACCGTGGCAGCAGAGCAGCCCTCCCCACCTGCGGGTCCCACCTGGGCCACCTTCTGCAGAAGGGTGTCTCTAGGCTGCAGGCGGACCCACTCACTGTGTGAACTTATGCTCCTCCTCCTTCCACTCTGCCTCAAACTTTTGCTCAGAACCTTCGAGAAATGAACTGGTTTAGTTTTGAGGTTTAGAGTAGATCACATCGATGTTCATGGCACTCTATAAACATGCCCTGGCACTACTGAGTGCATTTCACAATTGTCTCAGACGTTTTGCTCACACTCTGCTCTGCTTCCAAGGTGGCCTGTGTGGCTAATGAAGGCCACTTCTGGCATGGGAAGCCTTTGAAGGTTCTGCAACTCTGACCCATAAAGGGCCACGTGGAGGGCTGTGGGTGCCCGGTGTCTCTCACTTCTGCACTGCTGACCTCCCCTGCATCCTTCTCTGTCCCTTTATCCCTACTCCACCGCAAGTCCCAGGTAAGCAGCCTTCCAGACTATCATCTTAAAGGCCCGGACCTGCTGTTGCCTTTGCTAAGGGTGTCCTAACTGGCTATGAACAGGTTCCCCTCCCTATCAAGCAACATCAAAGTTTTCAGCTTTGCATAATCTTCTCCACCCCTCGCCATTTCTTGATCTTTGCCCCAACTGGGATTTGGGGGTACCCCGCTCCACCCCTTCCTCAAGGTTACCCATGAGCTTGCTCCCCAGCCCTGCTCCCTGCAGCACGCAGGCCTGTGCCAAAGCCTAGGCACCAGGTTTCTGCACAGGGTTTGCAATCCGCCAGGCTTCTACATGCAGCCACTTCCACTCTCGGTTTTGTGCTTTCCTTCCAGGAAGGTGGAAGGGAGGCCTGGAGTCGTAAGATGTCACTGTGGATAAGCTGTGCCACAGCTGAAGTGCTGGTGACTGTCTGAGCCCAGCCTGGCCTCCAGCTTCTCCGAAGCACTCCCCAGCTCTCTTCCTCCACAGCCCCTGCCCCACCTGCCCCCCCAAGTCGGGTTCTTTGTACTTCTACATCAGCTCTCCCGCATGCAGACCAGGGCCCATCACATGCCCAACACATCCTGGAATGCCACCTTCCCCTGCATTCCCAGCCCTTCCATCCCACGAGCCCTCAGACATTCCACCAGGAATGTCCAACAGGCAAGTCCCTTTGGCCTGAGAAAGGTAACCTAAGGAACTGGGGAGTGTATTGCCATCCAGTGTCTACTGTGGCAAATGGGGGCTCTCCTTCCTCCATTCCACACAGGCCCTGAACACCTCACAGATGCTCACTCCTTCCCATGCTGCCGGCTAGGGTCCAGCTGCCCTTCGGTGCCAGGTATAGTCCTATGCACTGGGACTCACCCTCTCTCCTCAAAGCTCATCTAGGGAACTTTCTCACTCACCCCTTCATATCTGGCACATGCTTGGCCCCAGATTCATAGCACACCCTCATATAATTTAGTCCATGAAGTGGCCTCCCCAGGAGTCTGAGTGTACACAGCTGCCTACTCTCCTCGTTAGGGAGCAACTGCATCTCTGCCTGCAGGGTGGCCTTCCCAGTCACTCTCTGGGAGCCCTAGATGTGGCATCGGGATCACTGACCTGCTGAGCAAGGAGGCTTAAGTCAGATCTGGGAAACTCCAACCCACTGACCTAGGTGAGAAAATTATGGCCAGGCTGAACCAATTCTAATGCCAAGTCTTAAAAACAACAGGGCTCTAGGTACAGAGAACCCAGGCCCAAAGTCATGGCCAGCCCCATCCAAGTCAGATCTGAGGCATCTGTGCCAGTAAAGCTCGGACCAGACTCTGCAGAAGCACACTCAGAGCCAAAGCTCGGGCCCAGGGAGACAGGACTCCCACAGTAACCAGCCATGGCACCTGGTGCTTTCTCTAAGCACAGAAACTTGGTGCTAGAGCCTCAGAGTTGTCCCCTGCTGGGACCCAGTGTATGCTAGCAATCTTGGTGGCAGAACAAGGTATTTGGAGGTCAATCTCTGAGGTGGGCAGGGAGTGCTATGCCTGCTGGCCGTGGGCCTGGCCATGAGGCCAGGAGGTTCCCCAACCTAGAGGTTGTGCCCTTGCTTGGACCAAAGAGACTAAGACAGGCTGCTTCCAGGGGATCCTGAGACAGGCCTCATGTCCTCTCTAGTTCTCTGAATGGCGTGAACATCCTCATTTCATTAATGAGGAAATGGAAGCCCAGAGGGGGAAAGCACCTGACCCAGGGTATACCTTAATGGCAGAGTCTCATTTAGATAAAGAAATGTGGTCTAGATCCAGGAAGGGCTGCTTTCACTGAACTGTCCTTCCTCTCCTAGGGAAATCTCCCATCTGTGTGTGCACAGAACCAGACGCTCCATGAGGACAGGGATGGTGACTACTCCTCTCTGCACACCCAGCACCGAGCCCAGTACCTGGCAAGAGAAGGTGCCACCCCCTCCGGAGGAATGTATGTGTCTGTATCTGCACATGAGCCAGAAACGAGCCAGAAATGGGCAGGGAGGGAAATTAGGAGGCAAGAGAGGCTGGTTCTGCTTCTTCAGCCTTGCAGAGAGTAGAGGCCCAGGAACCCTGAGAGGGAAGGCACCTGCTCTCTGTGGCGGAGTTGCTGCTTCGGGGCGGCCTGTACCCAAGTAGGGTAAGGGTGGGCTATGAAGGCAGACTGGGAAAGCAGAGACCCCTCCCCTACTCCAGGCACTGAATCTCCGCTTGAATGTCTGACTCCCATGTGCCTAATCTTTCCCCCAAGCCCTCTGCTCTTCCAGTTACTTGGCCCAAACCTCCAAGTATCATTTTTGACTCTTCTTTCTCTCACCCCCACTTCTAATTCAGTATGCAGCAGCCCTGGCTCTGTCTTTGAAACACATCTAGAATCAGCTGCTTTATATAGCATGGGCGGCTGTGCCCTTGGACTAAATGGTTAGTGCTGCAGCTCTCTGCTCAGTGCCTATGGCCTAATACCAAGCCAGTGGCCAGTGATCCACAGAGATGAAAGTCTATCATGTCACTCTTCGCCAGTGCTCCCCCACCATCACTACGGGGCAGGGGGACCAAAGTCCATAGATGGCCTGCCTGCAAGGCCTCCCGATGGGCCTCCTCCTTGTCAGGTCTCCTCTCTCACCTCTCTCCCAGTCCCAGCTTCCCTGACCTCCTGCTGTTTCTTGAACACTCTATGGAAGCCTCACCCTGGAGCCCTTGCACTGGCTGTTCCCTCAGATGGAGGACACATGCCTCAGACACTAGCATGTCTCCTTCTCTCCCCTTCTTGAGCTCTCTGCCCAAATACCACTTCCTCACTGAGGCCTAGTCTGACTCCTTGATTTAACTACAGCCAGTAATTCTAATATAGCAGATCATGTCTCCTTTGATCAGATGTCACCATGTGTCATCTGTCTCTGTCTTCTCAGTCTTATCCACGGCTGAGTCTGAGTCACAGCACTGCTGAGTAAGTTGGGATGAAGGATGGCCTGAGCCAGAAGGGCCCAAAGGAAGGCCTTCATCTCTGGTCCGAGAATAGGCTGCAGGATAGATGGCACTGAGGGGAGGAGGCTGAAGGGGAGCTTTCCATGGCTTGGGACAACTCCCAGCATCTCTTCCCCAGGAAGCACTTTGCCCAGTGGAACACGTGGCCTGGAAGAAGAGTGGCTGACTCTGGCTTCAACTGCTAGGTAGGACCTAGCCCAAGCAGAGAAGGTGACACCTACTCACTCATGACCCACTTAAAGCAGTCAGAGATCTCAAAGGGAGCTACCCCAGGCCCCTCTCAGCTGCTGTCCCATTCTGCTTTGTTTGGTAAAGTTCCCTTTGAAAAGTCCTACTCCTCTCCTGACTGAGCTATGGGAAAACAGACCAGTGAGCAGGTTGGGCGTTTAAAGGATGCAGGCCCTCTTGGCAGAACTGGGGAGGGGAGGGCTGGGGAGTCTGGGAGAAAGCCCATGCACAAGAGTCTGTGCCCAATTCTCCCGCCTGAGCTAGCCACCTGTTCGCCCCAGGGTCTTCCAGTCGCCTGCCATGCAGACCTAGAGGCTCGCCTCACCCTCTCAGATCGGCTCCCTCACTCCTGCCCCTCTCCGCCCTGCAGCAGGGGATGGCTAAGCCCGCTTCTGCCGGGATGACCACAGCTCTGCGCCTGCCCCGTAGGCCCGGGTCAGGAGCAGGTCGAGCCGGGCGCAGCGGGTCCAAGGCACCAGTGAGGGTCGGGCCCACAGAGGCTGGTGGAGGCGGCGGGTCCGACTGGTGTCTCCTCCCAAACCCCACCCCGTCCCCGCGCCCCGGCCGCCCGCGGTTACCTGTGCGAGTCCTGGTCTCCCCCGGGGGACGCTCCCGCCGGCGCTCAGTACGGGCGATTGGCGTCTTTGGGCCGCTTCAGCTGCACCTTGAGCCTCTTCATACCGATCTGAAAGCCGTTCATGGCCTGGATGGCGGTCTGTGCGCTGGCCGGGTTGTCGAAGCTCACGAAGCCTGGCGAGACACGAGGGACGAGGGCCTGGGTTTCCACGGGGCCGCTCCGGGCGGGAGAGAGGTGGTGGGGGAGAAGTACGGGCGATTGGCGTCTTTGGGCCGCTTCAGCTGCACCTTGAGCCTCTTCATACCGATCTGAAAGCCGTTCATGGCCTGGATGGCGGTCTGTGCGCTGGCCGGGTTGTCGAAGCTCACGAAGCCTGGCGAGACACGAGGGACGAGGGCCTGGGTTTCCACGGGGCCGCTCCGGGCGGGAGAGAGGTGGTGGGGGAGAAGGTGGGAGCCAGAGCAGGG